ATCTGCAAAAACTACATATCGTGATAAGAATCGAGATCGATCAATATGGAAAAACATATCGTGATAACATTTTTTTCCATATCGCCCAGCCCTATGGTGTAGTTCATCATACTTTTAGGAAACACCCTTGGATAGAGACACATGGAGTAAACAAGAGGAGCCACATGGTTATCATCACTGCATACCTTACGTGATTCAGAGCTGGCTCTAGGAATAGATTGCATCTTGATAATAAAGTAAAACAAGGAAAAATAACTACATCATTTATTGATATTACAGGAGGGATCTGTAAAAAGCAAAAAGAAGAAAGAGAAGAAATCTAAAAAGAAAAAGGAGAAAAAAAAGGGCAAGAAGGAGAAGAAGACAGCAGGAGCAGACGATGGCTCTAAAGACAGCTCAGATGTAAGTTATTCATTTATTTTCAAATGTTGGATTCATTTTCAATTGTTTTATACTGTACTTATTTATTAATTTCAGAGTGAAAAGTACATTTGCAGTATTTTAAAGTAGGAGCATTATTTTAAGTACAGGTTTAAGGAAAAAAACATTAAAGGGGACCTATCATACAAAATGCACTTTTGTACATCTTGTATACATGAATATGTGTCCCCGGTGTGTCAGGGAACTCACCAAGTGTCAGAAAACACAACCCTCTCTCTTTTCCTCCATACCCAAATCTCTAAAAACGGGACTGCAACGGAGCTGATTATTATTTGAATGTTTATGACGTCAGAAACAAGGAGCTCCGCCTATATGGGCAACTCTCCACCTATCAGGGGAATGAGAGACCGCTCGAAAGCGCTGGAGACGCTGTAGTACATATGCCAGGCCTGTAAGTGGCGCTGTAGTCTGCCACAAAAGCAGAATCAGCCCTGGCAAAACTGGGCTGGAAAAGAGCAAATGGAGCGAAATGAGGCATGGCTAAAATGCATGATCTGTTTGGTATTTTGAAAAAAAACTTCACAGACATGTTTTATATAGGTATGGCCCTACAATATATGTTTCAAATATAGCATGATAGGTCCACTTTAAAAAAAGAAATCTAGGTTTTACAGGTGAAATGATTATGTTCCCATGAGCAAAGATCAGTGTCATACCATGATTCATTGCAAGTTAAGTTGGAATATAAACAAGAGGGAAATGTTTTATAACAAGATGAATTAGTAAAAATGAAACGGCAAGAATGGAGCATCAAGACTTCTTTAACGTTTTCTCCTGATTGGTCAGGACATGCTGCCACACAGGTTAATAACTGCAATGATGTAAAACTGACCTAAATGTTACTAGATGAAATGGTGATTTACTTTTAAACGAAAGTTAATACTGTTTAATACTTTTCGTAAAAGTTTGTACCAGTCTTCTGTGGGGGGGGTCATCCGCAGAGCCCCCCCCCCCCCCTATACGATATTATCGCAATAAATAGGATATGAGAAGATGATTTGTTGTGATTTTAATATTTTACAATATACTGAGTATTGTACTAACATATTGCAATTTTTAATGTGATTTATAACCCCTTTTTTTTTAATCTGCAATTGAAACAGTTACAATCCCTGACCTTGGCCATGACCTCATCAGAAAAAAAACGTCATCTAGTTGACTGAAAAAGCAATTTGTGTTTGCATTTCTATTAGTTTTTAGAATGAAAGATCAATACTAGGCGTCCATGTATCGATCATATAGTGCCATGCATGATGTTACGCCCCATTCTATATCCATCTCCCTCTTATCCCCCAGTGTGCAATTCATTACATGTAAACACCTTACAAAGCTGTGATAAAGCAAAGTCTTTCTTATACAGACATGGCGGTTTAAAAACAATTCAGCTTTGGGACTTGTACTTAATTTATTAATATTCCACGCTTTTGTTTTGATAGGATAATCCCTGGTGTTGTTTTCCTTCTTCCTCATCACTTTCCCCTCTCTGTTTCTCTCTCATGTCTCAGGACTCAGAGGGGGAGTGGGTGGAGGCTCCGGCGCAGACACGAGCTGCTAAAGCCTGGAAACTTCCTGATGAGTCCAAACCCTCAGAGAGCAGCGTCAGCACAGCACAGAGCGTCGAGGTAACATTTAGTTGAAGAGGTTTTGTCTCTTAGTACAACACATGGTGAAATCAACACTATATTAAAGTCCCTTTCCACACAGGAGATGTGTGTATAATTGTCTGGAGGGAAAACCGTATCTAGAGGTTTTTTACTAATGCTGTCAAAATTATCGCGTTAACGGCGGTAATTAATTTTTTGCATTAATTGCGTTAAAATATTTAACGCATTTAACGCATGTGCAGAATGGCCCGCCCCATACATCCCACCTGTGGCAGCGCCAAGGTATGGCTGGGGTAGGCTACACCCATACCAAGAAATGGCTCAGCCCCACCATGAAAAATGATGTTAAAATAAGCAAAATAAAGTCCGCCAACTCGCACGGAGTAAATTGCACAGACAGCAGTTAGTAAGATTGATTTCAGTAGCCACTTCGAAATACCGAAGACCAGAAACGGTTTTGAAAACTTTTGTCACGTAGTGATCGTCTTCTCAATAGAACATCTTTGATAATGTCTTCTGGCCAATCAGAATCAAGATAACGGCGTGGTGTTGTTGCAGAAGTCCCGACGGAGAATACTTTTGCTGCAGTACATCTCGATATACATCGATACAACATTACGTGTTGATAGAAATCAACACGTAATGAAATAAGACCCCACGGTTTGATGATTGATAGGTGTGTGGGCTGTCTTTCATTTTGACACACAGAACAATGTTATAATAAACATACATACTGTATGTTAAATGGATATATCCGCCTTCTTTCATTTATCTTTCCATTCCCACAACAATATACATAAAGAAATGGCATATTTTGGACATAGTTCAAATGGTGATTAATCATGATTAATTAATTTTTAAGCTTTGATTAATCTGATTAAAAATTGTAATCGTTTGACTGACCTAGTTTTTACATCTATACAGTACATGCCTTGTTTCCTTCTTCTGCTTATATACACATGTACTATAAGTTGGTATCATCCACTCACGTTATATAGATCTTTTTTTTAACGGACTGTCTGTGTTGTAGAGAGACGAATGGATGACGTTTGACTTCCTGGCAATGAAAACCACGTCCACAACAGAGAAGAGGGCTGAGAAAGATCGCCTGAAAGAGGAGGAGAAGGCGAAGGCTCTGTCCATCGAACAGGTGTGTTTTTATTTCTGAATGTTTCACGTCCGTTTAGACAACCATATGGTTCCTCTAACTCCTACGGTGTCCTCTGTCAAATGATTCACATGTATCCGTGCTCAACTTGACCTGAATGTCTCTGTGAGAGCGAGATAAAGAGCGATGTTCGTGTATGCATGAAAACACAGTGGCAGTCACTTTCCTCCTTTTACTAACTGTGCAGTTACCAAGGTAACAACGGGTGTCCCCTCATGGACAGAAAGTGTGTGTGTGTGTGTGTGTGTGTGTGTGTGTGTGTGTGTGTGTGTGTGTGTGTGTGT